GCATCCGTCGCTTTGAATAGGAGGTGATTTTCTTGTGTTTGCGTGAGGAGCCGGTGGTGTTCCTGCGCTTGGAGAGCGACTTCTTTCCCTACACGCCCCGGAGGAAGGAGAACCTCCACGAGAACCTGCACGGTCTGGGACGAGAGCTTTCCTCCGAGGACCTGGAGCTCAGCATCAGGAGAGAGGTCAGAGTCCAGACATCATAATGGGTCGATGACGGGACTGGGGCTATTTATTTATTCTTAGAAAATAAAAACACTGAAAATAACTAATGAACAAGAATTTATTTTGAACTGTCCTGAGATCATTTTAAATATGATGATGATGATGATTATTATTAAAGCAGTTAAAATATACTATTTAGTAATGAAAAGAATAGTAAAATGTTTTCTGATTTCAGGATTAATTATATTGATTATGATAATTATTATTATTAAAGTAGTGAGTTATACTTAATACTTTATACTTTTATTACTACTACTACTACTACTAATTATTAGTATTATTATTAGTTTTTAAATGATTTTTTGTTTATAAATGTATAATAAATTACATTTTTTATTTGTATTATTATTAAAGCAGTTCATTATACTATTGAAGAAGAATAGTAAAAATATTTTACAAAATGTCTGATCTCAGGATAAATTATAATTATATAATTTGTATTTTTATTATTAAAGCAGTTAATTATAATATTTAATAATAATTATAATAGCAGCAATAATAATGATGATGATGATGATGATGATGATGATAATAAACAATAACAACAATATTTTTTGGTAATATTTATATTAAATATTTATAGTAAAATCAGTCAAGTCAAATAAAATCAATGTAGTGAAATCAACATCCAGGAACACATATTTTTGTTGTTGTTATTGGACATAAAAAACATAAAACATGAGATTTTAGTCATAAAAATAAAACTAGTTTAAATTGTGTAAATGTTCTTGTTAAACGTATGACACCAGCATGAATGGATCAATAATATTTCTAAGATATTTGCACATTTCTCCTCTTTATTCTTGTCATCGACCCAAATGCATGCTCAAACCTTAATGCTTTTCTGTCATATTAATAATAACTGCACCTCCAGAAATATTCATGTGCCGATCTGAAGGCATTTTCTCATCTGAAAACAACGTGTTTTGTGCTTTTAGCTTCATGACTTCGCCAAACTGAACGACAACGTGTTCTACGTCTACAACGACATCGAGCATTTTAAAGGAGAACCGCAGAAGATCTGCATCAGCTGTGAAGAAGACATTCATGTGACAGGAGAGGTGTACCAGCGACCGCGCTTCACCATGCCTGCCTACAGGTACACACACACACACACACACACACACACACACACACACACACACACACACACACACACACACACACACACACACACACACTCTTCATGGGTTTGTGCTGGTTAATCCTTTCCCCAACACTACACACACACACACACACACACACACACACACACACACACACACACACACACACTTCATGGATTTGTGCTGGTTAATCCTATCCCCAACACTACACACACACACAACACACACACACACACACACACACACACTTCATGGGTTTGTGCTGGTTAATCCTTTCCCCAACACTACACACACACACACACACACACACACACACACACACACACACACACACACACACACACACACTCTTCATGAGTTTGTGCTGGTTAATCCTTTCCCCAACACTACACTACACACACACACACACACACACACACACACACACACACACACACACACACACACACACACACACACACACACACACACACACACACACACACACACACTTCATGGGTTTGTGCTGGTTAATCCTTTCCCCAACACTACACTACACACACACACACACACACACACACACACACACACACACTTCATGGGTTTGTGCTGGTTAATACTTTCCCCAACACCACACACACACACTCACACACACACACACACACACACACGCTTCATGGGTTTGTGCTGGTTAACCCTCATCTTCACATGTAACCGCAGTGTGTGGTGATGTAGCTGATGTGTGTGTGTGTGTGTGTGTGTGTGTGTGTGTGTTCAGGTATTACCGTCTGCCTCTGCCGATGGAGGGAGCGCCGCTGGAGGACGAGTTTGATGCGTTCGTTAACGTTCTCCGGGTAAGAGATTCTCCAGAAACGAACAGCATGATCTCTATGTGAGCCATATTTATCTCTGACCTTTCTAATTGAGATATCATCTAAATCGATGTATTGGTCAGCTGGTGTCATGTGAAACGCATGAAGGCTCTCGTCTGCGCATCAGGGGAATTGTTTTCTTGTGATGCGGTCGGTTCAGTTCATGCCGATTCGGCCGCCAATGTGATTAAATCTTCCGAGGCGGTGGAATCTAAACACGTCAGATGCTTTAAAGTGCGTCCGCGCTGTAATATATAATGTGTTTAGATGGAAGGAAATGAGTTAGTGGAATATTCTGGAGTCTGTAGATCATCAGAAGGGATGAAGACAAACATGAGCACGACATGAAACTACTGGATCCTTTCTTTCAAAACAGACCGTACTTACAAAAAGTTCATGTTAATGTTAACCAAATATTAAAAAACAGAAACTTTACATTATCCATTAACCCCGAACAAGCCGGTTTATCAACCCATAATCTCAAATAGTACTAAAATAAGCTTTTTTTGACCCCTGACTGGGCTTATATTGAGTTTTACCATGGTAAATAATAATAATAATAATACGTTTATTTTATATAGCGCCTTTCAGAATACTTAAGGTCGCTTTACAATAAAGTACATAGAAACATGACATATTAGAAACATGACATAGAAACATGACATAGAAATAGGGTTGGGTTTTATCCAATACCAGTACCTACTCTGTATTTTTTAAACGGTACTTAAGAAAATGAAACCGCACACACTTTGTCAAAAAGTAATACCCTTTTATTTACAGGGCCAAACTGGACACAGTATTAACTTAAATCTTTAAACAATATAAATACAAGTAACATATGGTAATAATAAATAAACCAATATAAAATATCACATTTACATAATATCAAATAAAACAATATTGTATCAAACAATGTAAAAATACTGGAGATTAATAGAGATTACTACCAGGGTAATCTAATATCGACATGGCTACAGGGTCCCATGTTTTGTCTGCTTGAACCAGTCATGTAAGTTATCTGGTCGTTGTTTCGGCACCGCGTTTCGGTACCTAACCCTACGTAGAAACAAAAATATATTGAGATAGTGGTACATAAACATAAATGGTTGCGAGTGCTTCTGCGTGTGGGGTGTGTTTGTCTGGTTAGAGCTCAGTGTGTGTGTGTTTGCTGTGTTTGCCTGATGAATGAGACTTCCTTCGTGTGTTTCCTGTTTCTCTGGTTTAAGAAGACCGAAGCTGAAGCCACAGATTTGTCGAGTTGAAAGTAAAATGGCCACATGAAACCACAGGCTGAGTGCACTGAGCTGGATCTCTGAGTTACTATTATGTCCTTGATGATGTTTTTGGGCTTTAGAACAGTAATATTGTTGCGGCTCCTCTCTTCCCAGTCTGTCAGTAACGCTCTGTTTACTTCCTGTCTCTATGAAGCCCCTCCTTCTGAAAAGCACACTGTGCTCTGATTGGTCGGCTGGAGCAGTGTGTTGTGATTGGTCGAGCGCTTCGAGTGTGTTTGGGAAATGTCCCGCCCCTTCCCTTAACCGCCAGTTTAACACACTACTAACTAACTCAACCAGGCCCCGCCCCTTTATTCTGCGTATGAATTATTATAATGAGGAATATTGTGACGTGTTCCCGGAAGAAACTTAAGACTACAATGGAGGCGTTTCAGGAGTTCAGAAACACTGACACTGATATAGAGAAGAACTCCCGCTGGAGGGACTTTGAAACCTTTTTCATGCTCAAACATCAACATTACACGCTCTAGAAAGAAGAAAAGCAAAATAGTGATGATTATTTGCACAGAAAGAACATTTTTACCCTTTATACTGTGTGATAGGATGCATTCTTCCCATTCATATTCCCAAAAATGCTTTTAAAACGAGCGGTTTGATGGATTTGTCCTCGTGGGTGGCGAGGAGTCATTCATCTGAACTCCTGATCCTCGTGAACGTTCGCTATTTAAAGCGTCTTGTCGAACCTCAAGCTGTTATTTTAGCCCTGCCAGTGGATTGATTCACAGGAAGCAGTTTTATAAAAGAAAGCTTTAGACCACTTCCAGACTCGCTTCAAGCCTGTTTGTTCTCCAGATCCCAACTCCATAGTTACTCCATATTAATGGACATTCAGATTTAATCAGCCCGTTTCTAAACAGAAACAGACATTTTATAGCATTTCCGAAGGATAGCAGACGGTATAGATATAACCAAGGTCAAGTCAGCTTTATTTCTACAGCGCTTTTACAATACAGATCGCAGCAGCTTCACAGTAATAACAGGAGCATTACAGAATCAATGATGCAAACTTCAAATATGAGAAATTCAGCTCTAAAAAGACCAATTCAGTTAGTTTTGTTCTCAGCCAATAGCAGACAAATCAATAATATTACTGTTATTAACTCTTTTAAACCTTTTAAATGTTACATACATTTTAAGTTTTTGTTTAAAACCTAAATAAATAAAACCAAGTTTTATATCAGCTAAATTAAGGTTTCCCAAAAAATTTTTGTCAGCCAAACTCTTTTGACCTAAAATATTGATTTAGAAGATTTTAAAGTTTATATTTTATACGTGTAATTAGATTAGATTAGACATTTCAAATACTCCTAATCAATCAGACTACAGTTACACTTTTATTGATTACATGATTACTTAATATCCACAAAACGGCAGTAAATTATTCATGATTTATTGATTCTACCTAATTTTACTTTTTTATCTTTTTAAATTTTCCCTTTTAAAACAGCATTTATATATAAATATTCATAAAGGATATAATTACACAGAAAATTGAAAGGCCACACAGCATAAACAAATAAAATGTAATCCTTTTTTTGTTTTGCAACATTTTTTTAAATAATTAAATACAAAATTATTTATATTAACTGTACATGTAATGAATAATTACTTTAATTATTCATAATAAATCATTATTATTTAAGTAAAAAACTTACCTTTTCATCAATTTATGAACTTGCATAGTTTTTTTTTCTTTTCTTTTTTGTATTTTATATCAATATAGTACAAGATTATCCTATTCAAATCTATGTGATAAGTCAATAGTAAACAAAGTAATCAAAAAGTAGTTAGTTTATATAACCTAAAATGTGTGACGTAATAGATTGTTACTACAGTTTTCATCATTTAATTTGTATGCAGTAATTTGGACTACAATTGGTAAGTAATCTATGTATATATGGGTGGTCAGGCATCTCTAGTGTTGTTTGATTGGTTTAAATCCTTATGCCGACGGAATCATCACTATATCAACTTAAATTCAATCTTCAAGTATCTCTTCGTATTGCATGTCGGTTGACATTCGATGCCCATTATTTCAATTGTCTCAAACAATCGATACCCTATTAAAATTGTCTCTTTCTCTTTTTCTCCTTCTTGCCCGATGCAAAAATGTCCTTGTTCGCGCCTTTATACGACACTCTTGCAGTGCACTGTACTCTGGTGTCCCTGAAGAATGCATTCAGAAACTGCAATGTACCGCGATCTCTTTCTGTCAGGGGAATCCGTCTCTGTCCCTGAGTCGCGATGCATCTCAGCCTCTTCCCAGCGCTGCTTCACCAGGGGGAGCCTCAACCAATCTGTGGATTAATCCTGGGATCGCTGGTGATGATGCCTTGACACGCGTCCGGACCGCAGACCCTGCACGCCCACCGCCGCAACACCGTAAGAGCCCGAACACACTCCTATAATACTGATCATACACGTCCTCAGAATGCATAATTGCGTCAGGACAATTTTTGCTCACCATGGGTGCATTTATTTGTAAAAAAAAAAATACAGTAAAAGTGAATTATTTGTTACAATTAAAATAGCTGTGAATATATATATATATATATATATATTATTCACAGCTATTTTAATTGTAACAAATAATTCACTTTTACTGTATTTTCTTTTTTTACAAAGTAAATGCTACTAAAGGTGCATAAAGTATATGCATAAAGCATAAAGGTGACATACAATACACTCACCGGCCACTTTATTAGGTACACCTGTCCAACTGCTCGTTAACACTTAATTTCTAAGCAGCCAATCACATGGCGGCAACTCAGTGCATTTAGGCATGTAGACATGGTCAAGACAATCTCCTGCAGTTCAAACCGAGCATCAGTATGGGGAAGAAAGGTGATTTGAGTGACTTTGAACGTGGCATGATTGTTGGTGCCAGAAGGGCTGGTCTGAGTATTTCAGAAACTGCTAATCTACTGGGATTTTCACGCACAACCATCTCTAGGGTTTACAGAGAATGGTCCGAAAAAGAAAAAACATCCAGTGAGCGGCAGTTCTGTGGGCGGAAATGCCTTGTTGATGCCAGAGGTCAGAGGAGAATGGCCAGACTGGTTCGAGCTGATAGAAGGGCAACAGTGACTGAAATAACCACTCGTTACAACCGAGGTATGCAGCAAAGCATTTGTGAAGCCACAACACACACAACCTTGAGGCGGATGGGCTACAACAGCAGAAGACTCCACCGGGTACCACTCATCTCCACTACAAATTGGAAAAAGAGGCTAAAATTTGCAAGAGCTCACCAAAATTGAACAGTTGAAGACTGGAAAAATGTTGCCTGGTCTGATGAGTCTCGATTTCTGTTGAGACATTCAGATGTTAGAGTCAGAATTTGGCGTAAACAGAATGAGAACATGGAACCATCATGCCTTGTTACCACTGTGCAGGCTGGTGGTGGTGGTGTAATGGTGTGGGGGATGTTTTCCTGGCACACTTTAGGCCCCTTAGTGCCAATTGGGCATCGTTTAAATGCCACGGCCTACCTGAGCATTGTTTCTGACCATGTCCATCCCTTTATGGCCACCATGTACCCATCCTCTGATGGCTACTTCCACCATGTCACAAAGCTCTAATCATTTCAAATTGGTTTCTTGAACATGACAATGAGTTCACTGTACTAAAATGGCCTCCACAGTCACCAGATCTCAACCCAATAGAGCATCTTTGGGATGTGGTGGAACGGGAGATTCGCATCATGGATGAGCAGCCGACAAATCTGCGGCAACTGTGTGATGCCATCATGTCAATATGGACCAAACTCCCTGAGGAATGCTTCCAGCACCTTGTTGAATCTATGCCACGAAGAATTGAGGCAGTTCTGAAGGCAAAAGGGGGTCCAACCCGTTACTAGCATGGGGTACCTAATAAAGTGGCCGGTGAGTGTATATATATATAGTCAAGTCACCTTTATTTATATAGCGCTTTTTACAATACAGAGTGTTTCAAAGCAGCTTCACAGAGATAACAGGAAAATAATGCAACAAAAGTTTGTTTCTAGAAGAAAAAAGAAAATAGCGTCACAGTCCAGCTTAAGTAAGTTCAGTGATGGTTCATTTTTGTTGTAAAAAAGTTATTAATTTAGTTTATTTATATATATAGCCGCTCTGGAGAAAACCGTGATGTCATCGTCCAGCTCAGTTCAGTTCTCATATAATGCTGTCAATGCAGGAGATCAATAATATTGTTAAATATTAAACTTAATTAAATTTAAAATTCAATTAAAGTAATTTATTCCTGTGATCAAAGCTGAATTTTCAGTATCATTACTCTTCAGTGTCACATGATCCTTCAGAAATCACTCTAATATGATGATTTGATGCTCAAGAAACATTTATGATTATTATCAATGATGAAAACAGTTAATATTTTTGTGGAAACTGTTACGACTTTTATTTTTTCAGGATTCTTTGATGCATAGAAAGTAAAAAAAACAGCGTTTATTTAAAATAGAATCTTTTGTAACATTTATAAATGTCTTTACTGTCACTTTTGATCAATTTAATGCATCCTTGCTGAATAAAAGTATCAATTTTCTTTTTAAAATTATAGTCTTACTGACCACATATTTTCAATGAGTGTGCATCCTTTTGCATGAATGTTTAATAAAGATGCGTGTTTGCTGGCGAAATGTTTAATGTCAAGGATGTCACATGTTCATAGAGCTGAAGAGGATGTGACGAACAAACCCAAAATGCAGTTTCAGGTCATTCAGACCCTCATCAGTAAACTGCCTAAAGGTCAAGAGGTCATGGAAGAGGTTTGTGTTTGTTCAATCTAACATTCATTAAGACATAAATACCCTCATGATATGGTCACACTTTAGATTACGGTCCAATTCTCACTATTAACTACGGTTTTGCCTCAATAAACTCCTAATTACTGCTTATTAATAGTTAGTAAGGTAGTTAAGTTTAGGTATTGGCTGGATTAAGGGATGTAGAATATGATCATGCAGAATATGGCATTAATATTTGCTTTATTAGTACAAATACACCGCTAATATCTTAGTAATATGCATGATATTAAGCAACTAGTTAATAGTGAGAATTGGACCTTAAACTAAAGTGTATTTTAGTGTATTTATAGTGTATTCACTGTATTTATGAGCGAGTCTTGCTGTGTTTCAGGTGAACCGCGCCATAGACCTGTGCTCTGAGATGCACGACATTCGAGAGGCCATTTATGAGAACAAACACAAGCTGGAGGGAATCGGCGAGGACTATCAGATCCAGGTGAGAGTCTGTGTGCAATGATAGTAAAGGTGCATATTTTACATTCTCCACTTTCTCTAAAATTAAATACGCTTTTTTTTGCTGCTGTGTCTTTAGCTACCTGTCAAAAGTTGGAATAATTAAGAAAAATTATCACAGTTTACACAAAAATATGGCAATTGGCAATAATTGGAACTGTTTCTTGAGCAGCAAATCATCATATTAGAATGATTTATTTTGTATTATTATGATATTTTCATTTTTTGACAATACACAAGCCAAAATGAGAACATGAAAACACAAATGAAATCATATTGGAGTGATTTCTGAATGATCATGTGACACTGAAGACTGGAGTAATGATGCTGAAAATACAGCTTTGATCACAGGAATAAATTACAGTTTACAAAATATTCTCATATAAAACAGCCATTTTAAATTGTAACAATATTTCACATTTTTACTGTATTTTTGATCAAATAAATGCAGCCTTGGTGAGCATAAGAGACTTCTTTCAACAATATTAAAAAATCTTAATTATTCCAAACTAATGTAAATGCTGCATCTTCTTCATGTGAAATAAGCTTCATGGTGCAATTAAATGTTTTATTGGAAAACAATCCAGGAAATTGAGATTCCTCATTATATGAGCCCTGAATCTGGCAGTAATTCATTACTCTTGTTGTCAGACTTCATTACAGTGTGTGTGTGTGTGGTTTAAATGTGTGTGTGTGTGTGAGACGTTTAAGTGTGTGTGTGTGAGACGTTTAAATGTGTGTGTGTGTGACGTTTAAATGTTTGTGTGTGTGTGACGTTTAAGTGTGTGTGACGTTTAAGTGTGTGTGACGTTTAAATGTGTGTGTGTGTGTGTGTGTGTGTGTGTGTGTGTGACGTTTAAATGTGTGTGTGTGTGTGACGTTTAAGTGTGTGTGTGTGGGACGTTTAAGTGTGTGTGTGTGTGACGTTTAAGTGTGTGTGTGTGTGTGTGACGTTTAAGTATGTGTGTGTGTGACGTTTAAGTGTGTGTGTGTGTGACGTTTAAGTGTGTGTGTGTGTGTGACGTTTAAATGTGTGTGTGTGTGTGTGTGTGAGAGAGATGTTTAAGTGTGTGTGTGACGTTTAAATGTTTGTGTGTGTGTGTGATGTTTAAGTGTTTGTGTGTGTGTGACGTTTAAGTGTGTGTGTGTGTGTATGACGTTTAAGTGTGTGTGTGTGTGTGTGTGTGTGTGAGAGAGACGTTTAAGTGTGTGTGACGTCTAAATGTGTGTGTGTGTGTGTGTGACGTTTAAGTATGTGTGTGTGTGTGTGACGTTTAAGTATGTGTGTGTGTGACGTTTAAGTGTGTGTGTGTGTGACGTTTAAGTGTGTGTGTGTGTGTGTGTGTGTGACGTTTAAATGTGTGTGTGTGTGTGTGTGTGTGTGTGTGAGAGAGAGACGTTTAAGTGTGTGTGTGACGTTTAAATGTTTGTGTGTGTGTGTGTGTGTGTGTGAGAGAGACGTTTAAGTGTGTGTGTGTGTGAGACGTTTAAATGTGTGTGTGACGTTTAAATGTTTGTGTGTGTGTGTGACGTTTAAGTGTTTGTGTGTGTGACGTTTAAGTGTGTGTGTGTGTGACATTTAAATGTGTGTGTGTGTGTGTGTGTGTGTGTGTGACGTTTAAATGTGTGTGTGAGAGACGTTTTAGGCTTCTTAACAAAGACTCTTTATCCTGCAGTGAATCAACTGAGCCGATTCTTCCTCTCTGGACAAACTGAAATCTGTTGTGCTGAGCTTAGACGTTCAGTTTCTCCAGCTAGTTTTGTGTAAAGATCACTTGTTGTGTGTGGAACCAGCTGGAAACACAAAGCAGATGTACGGCCTACAGCTGAACAGATTGTAAATAAAGTGTGTCTGTGTGTTTTTAGGGAAGCAGCGCTAAAGACTACTTCCTCCATCGAACTCTACAGAGTCTAGAGCGATACTTCTACCTGATCGTCTTTAACGCGTACCTTCATGAACAGGTACAGTGTGTTTCCAAATGAGTGTTATAAGGGGCGTTATTCATCGAGGCAGTCGTATTTATTATGTCTCTCCTCTCTGTTGTAGTATCCGCTGGCGTTCTCGTGTAGTTTCAGCCAATGGTTGTGCTCGAACGCCTGGATGTACCGCCTCCTCTCCTGCATGAACCAATCAGAGCTCAGAGCACCGGCTGACCTGCTCACGAAAGGAGCTCGAATTCTGGTGAGAAAAACCTTGCTGGATTAAATCACTGCTTTTCTGAATGTACACAGAATGCACTCAATGTGCAACGGAAATCAAAGACACATCATTGCATTTCTGGAGTGACGAGGCAGATTTAATTGAATAGATTTATGTCAAGAATCGACTATTATTAAATTTGCCTATTCCTTTCCTTTTTATGCCGTTGTTTAGGCATTTTTAAAGTGTTTTTTTCTAATTAAATTAGGCAGTAATTAAGCTAATAACTGAACGTACTGTATTGCAGCATCATTATTCTGATGCCTGTATGCATATTCATTACTTTACTGCAACCCAAATATATGTAAACATAGTCATAGTCAGTGAATAATTATGACTGAATAACCACTTCCTCGCATATAAGATCTGAATGTAGTGTGTATTGCTTTTACGGTCCGCATTATATTGTAAAGAGGGAGACGTTCTCCTTTAAAATGCTGATGACTTCAGAAAGTTGCCATCTGGAGATTCTCTGTTTTATCTGTCCTTTGTTCTGATAGATCGTGTTTCTCCATTGAGATTAATGTGCGTTTGCTCTGCATGGAAATGACCTTCTCACTTCGCAACAGTCACTAAGGAAAGTGTGAGTTGTCAACAGATGAACTGTAACATCGTGACTCTGTCTGGCTTTCCTTTCTGAGCAGTGGCCTTGGAGCCGAGACTTAGCGCTGAATTGAGGAAGTCGATCTACATGGGCAAACAGGATTCAAAACAGACCTTGAAACATTCAAAATATTTTTTTTTTTTTTTTTTTAATCTAATATACTTTAAAAACCTTTTAAAAAATATATATTTTTAGGTTTTGCTACATTTTAACCTGTTGTTTTTCTTTTGCTATGAAAATTGCATAAAACTGCTGGCATGCCGTTACATTACAAACCAACAAATCAGATCAAATGAGTGTTTCTTTTGAAACAAACTGTGCTTTACTTTCAGAAAATGTTGCAGAAATGTTTCAGCCCTTCTGAAATTTCTTGCATTAAATTGGCACTATATTCTAAAAATATTAAAGACATTTATTTTCATTAAAATATTTTATTAAGCTAATTCCTCGTTTGATTAGAAGATTTAGCTCCAGAGAAAATGGAATGTTGCTCTGCGGTTAAATTCCAAATTTTAAATGTTGCATTCGCAATGATACAAAGTTTCAACTGAACAGAACATGATGATGATTCATAGAAGCTAAGTGGTCAAATTTAAGATTTTTAAAAAGTGAAACTTTATTTTATGAGGTTTATAATTTGTCATGTTTGTGAATACTGTATAAAATCCGTATTAAACTTTAGTAATTTTTCTTTAGATTACTTTGGAAACAGGGTTGAATGGTTGTGCTTGATAAATGTCAATGTTTATGAGAAAAAATATCAATGCAAAAAAAAAGTTAGTTTCATAATTGATTAATTTTACATTAACTGTTATTTTCCTATTTTATTTCAATCTGTATTGTATAAAGCTCTATATAAATAAATGTGACTCTGTATTATTATTTGTGCAAAGATTTAACTTAATTAATAATTTGTTTCATTTCGTCATCTCTGCATAATAAACTTAAAAACTGGGAAATTGTGACATCTCAACACTTGCATACGGAAGAGGATTAGGGCCGAGCAAAAATAAAAAAATAAAACCATATCGAGATTAAAGTCATTATAATGCGAAATTAAACTCGTTAAATTTCGAGAAAACATAGTCGAAATACAATCTTGAGAATAAACTCATTACATTTCGAGAATAAAGTCGTTGTGTTTCGAGAAAAATCACGTTAAATTTCGAGAAAAAAGTCGAAATACAATCTTGAGAATAAACTCGTTACATTTCAAAAATAAAGTCGTGTTTCGAGAAAAACTCGTTAAATTTCGAGAAAAAAGTCGAAATACAATCTTGAGAATAAACTCATTACATTTCAAGAATAAAATCGTTGTGTTTCGAGAAAAAACTCGTTAAATTTCGAGAAAAAAGTCGAAATACAATCTTGAGAATAAACTCGTTACATTTCAAAAATAAAGTCGTGTTTCGAGAAAAACTCGTTAAATTTAGAGAAAAAAGTCGAAATACAATCTTGAGAATAAACTCATTAAATAGCGAGAATAAAGTCATTGTGTTTCAAGAAAAAACTCGTTAAATTTCGAGAAAAAAGTCGAAATACAATCTTGAGAATTAACTCGTTACATTTCGAGAATAAAGTCATTGTGTTTCGAGAAAAAACTCGTTAAATTTCGAGGAAAAAAGTCTAAATACAATCTTGAGAATAAACTCATTAAATAGCGAGAATAAAGTCGTTGTGTTTCGAGAAAAAACAAGTTAAATTTCGAGAAAAAAGTCAAAATACAATCTTGAGAATAAACTCATTATATTTCGAGAATAAAGTCGTGTTTTGAGAAAAACTCGTTAAATTTCGAGAAAAAAGTCGAAATACAATCTTGAGAATAAACTCGTTACATTTCAAAAATAAAGTCGTGTTTCGAGAAAAACTCGTTAAATTTCGAGAAAAAAGTCGAAATACAATCTTGAGAATAAACTCATTACATTTCAAGAATAAAGTCGTGTTTTGAGAAAAACTCGTTAAATTTCGAGAAAAAAGTCGAAATACAATCTTGAGAATAAACTCGTTACATTTCAAAAATAAAGTCGTGTTTCGAGAAAAACTCGTTAAATTTAGAGAAAAAAGTCGAAATACAATCTTGAGAATAAACTCATTAAATAGCGAGAATAAAGTCATTGTGTTTCAAGAAAAAACTCGTTAAATTTCGAGAAAAAAGTCGAAATACAATCTTGAGAATTAACTCGTTACATTTCGAGAATAAAGTCATTGTGTTTCGAGAAAAAACTCGTTAAATTTCGAGGAAAAAAGTCTAAATACAATCTTGAGAATAAACTCATTAAATAGCGAGAATAAAGTCGTTGTGTTTCGAGAAAAAACAAGTTAAATTTCGAGAAAAAAGTCAAAATACAATCTTGAGAATAAACTCATTATATTTCGAGAATAAAGTCGTGTTTTGAGAAAAACTCGTTAAATTTCGAGAAAAAAGTCGAAATACAATCTTGAGAATAAACTCGTTACATTTCAAAAATAAAGTCGTGTTTCGAGAAAAACTCGTTAAATTTCGAGAAAAAAGTCGAAATACAATCTTGAGAATAAACTCATTACATTTCAAGAATAAAGTCGTTGTGTTTCGAGAAAAAACTCGTTAAATTTCGAGAAAAAAAAAGTCGAAATACAATCTTGAGAATAAACTCGTTACATTTCAAAAATAAAGTCGTGTTTCGAGAAAAACTCGTTAAATTTAGAGAAAAAAGTCGAAATACAATCTTGAGAATAAACTCATTAAATAGCGAGAATAAAGTCATTGTGTTTCAAGAAAAAAGTCGTTAAATTTCGAGAAAAAAGTCGAAATACAATCTTGAGAATTAACTCGTTACATTTCGAGAATAAAGTCATTGTGTTTCGAGAAAAAACTCGTTAAATTTCGAGGTTAAATTTCGAGGAAAAAAGTCTAAATACAATCTTGAGAATAAACTCATTAAATAGCGAGAATAAAGTCGTTGTGTTTCGAGAAAAAACAAGTTAAATTTCGAGAAAAAAGTCGAAATACAATCTTGAGAATATACTCGTCACTTTTCGAGAATAAAGTCGTTGTGTTTCGAGAAAAAACTCGTTAAATTTCGAGAAAAAAGTCGAAATACAATCTTGAGAATAAACTCATTATATTTCGAGAATAAAGTCGTGTTTCGAAAAAAAACTCGCTAAATTTCGAGAAAAAGTCTAAATACAATCTTGAGAATAAACTCATTACATTTCGAGAATAAAGTCGTCATGTTTCATGAGAAAATTATTACATTTCGAGAATAAACACAACGACTTTATTCTCAAGATTGTATTTCGAGTTTTTTGATGACTTTAGTCTTGAGATGGTTTTATTTTTTTATCATTGCTTGGCCCTAATCCTCTTCCGTACTTGCAAACATCATCCTAAAATGACTTCTTTTTTTCTCTGTAACCCTCGACTAAACTAACGGATGATGCATTATTTCTGAAGGGATGTGTTTTATTTCTAGGTTGCCGATGAATATTTAGCGCCTGACGTTCTGAGCACCATTAAGGAGATGAGAGTGGCTAATTTCAGACGAGTGCCCAAGATGCCGATCTACGGCATGGCTCAGCCGACGTCTGAGGTGTGTGTGTGTCTGAGGAGGGTTTGTGAACGCTTCCCCGACCGCATCTCTCACTGCTCCTCTGTCTCGTTCCCCGGCAGGCGACGGGAGCCGTTCTGGCGTATCTGGCGGATGAGAAGAGGAAGCACAGCACTGTTTTATGGGTGAATTTGCAGGATGAACTGGTTCTGGAGGCCAACGGGCAGATCTTCTGTCCGAGAGAGCCCACGCGTGTGGATCAGCACATATGTGTGCTCTCCTCACACACACACGAGATCCAGGTCAGATTTAGCCCACGCTTTTCTAAATGTCATAATCATTTGTTAACAAACAAGTATTCATTACTTACCTGAGCTCATCGTTTCTGCCTTAAATGATTACTTTGTTTAAATAATACATTTTTAGCTAACTGTGATTTTGTATATGTACATTTCTGAAATACATAACTTAGACAGTTTCCTCTGATAACAGATCACTGTAAATTGTAATGTGGACTCGTGCATTTTCTGTGTATACTGTACAGGTGAAACTCGAAAAGTTAGAGTATCGTGGAAAAGTTCATTTATTTCTTTAATTTAACTTAAAGGTGAAATTAATATATTATATAGACTCATTTCATGCAAAGTGAGATATTTCAGGCCTTTATTTGTTGTAATTTTGATGATTATGGTTTACAGATATGAAAAGCTTTTCACAATATTCTAATTTTGAATTTGGGGTTTTCATATCTATAAGCCATAATCATCAAAATTATAACAAATAAAAGCTTGAAATATCTCACTTTGCATGTAATGAGTCTATATAATATATTAATTTCACCTTTTAAGTTAAATTGCAGAAATAAATGAACTTTTGCACCATATTCTAATTTTTAGAGTTTCACCTGTACAAATAGGTGTGAATTTAATTTAATTTAATTGAATACGCCACTTGAAGATGTGCATTAACAAACATTTTCACCTGCTGGGTGAATAAACAACCTTCTAGATTACTTTTATCTCTTTAGATCAGGGATTCACACTTTTTTTTCTTTTTCTTTTTGGTCAGCCGAACACATTAGACACAAAATATTCCCCGAGATTTTAAGTTAAAATGTCAATAACGTCACATTCGCATGTTTGACGGTTCTCTGTCGTCTGTTAATGGTCACATGTCATGCAAGTAAATAGAAAAAATATATATAAAGTATTTTTCATTGTTGTAATAATGATAATTATGTTTTTAACTAATGAAGACAGGATATATATATTTCTGTTGTAAATTACAAATAAAAATAATAATATTTGATGATAATTATAATAAAAATAAAAAGTTACAATACTAAAATGTAAGCCTTAAATCATTCACTTTTAAACATTTAAAATCCCCAAGCTTTTATTTTGGCGGACTGTTAGTGAAATGCTGTAAACTGTCCACAAAATGTAAAATGTGTAAATTAAAGTAATGAGTTTTCTGTGAACGAGAAGATCTGAGCGATTATTCACAGCCCCATTTATTTATTTATTTTAATTTTACATTCAATGTAATTATTAACATTTCATCAACTTGCGAAGCCCTGTTTGGGACACACTGAACGGCGTGTGTGTGTGTGTGTGTGTGATGCAGAGGCTGGAAACGGCTCTGAAAGAGGAACTTTTGGGAAGTCAGAAATGGCTTGAAGTGACTCTGGAACAGGAGAAGCAGATGAAGATGTTCAAGAGCTGTCTGACGGTCCAGGAGATCTTCAACCATCACAAGAGTTCACACGCGGGACTGCAGTACAGGCGGATCCCTCTCCCAGAATGCTCTGCTCCCACTGAAGAGGTGAAACACTTTAAAAGCTCAAAGATCTACTGACATTCATCTTTCCTTTCAGATGCAGTAATAATGAGACGATGCTGATGAGACGACTGAGAAAAGAGCTTCGGCTCCCTCTAGTGTTCATCAGAGTCACTGTAGTCTCAGATTTTACCCGAATATTTCACCAATGTCATTAACTCGCCCTAATGTTTTTATTTTATTTTATTTTATTTTATTTTATTTTATTTTATTTTTTATTTTATTTTTTTGTTTTAATGTTTTATTGTTATTTTATTTATTTAAAAAATATATTAACCTTTTTATTTAATATTTATTTCATTTTATTTTAATGTTTTGTTTTGTTTTATTTTATTTAATATATATTTTTTATTTTATTAATTTCTTTTATTTCTTTTTTTTTCTTTTCTTTAATATATTTTATTGTTTTATTTATTTTTTATTTTTTGTGGAACACAGAAACATTCGGAAAAGAACCTGAAAGACTGTCAAGCAAAAGGGACACAAAAAAAACCCCTCCATAAATGTGTTTTGAAGTAGTCCATATGACATATTAAAGTCATTATACACAGATAAAGATTAACATATGATTAAATAAGATGCTAAATGAATGCCTGGTTTAATGCCTAACGTCAAATGCGAAGAGCACAAGAAAAACTCTTCCGAATTTGTCCTTTTTTGTTCTACAGAAGAAATAAAGTCAAGATGGTGAGAAAACGACGCTAGAATTGTCATTTGCATGAAGTGTTGCTGTAATAGACTTGTGCATGAATACTTGCAATGAAAACAGCTTTATTGCTGTTCATCCTGACAGTTTTGTTATCTTTCTTGTGTGCATTTTCTGAATGTCTTGGTCTGCTTTATCTCTTTCGTTTGGTCACGTTGATAATGGTGTGTGTGTGTGTGTGCAGGGTTTCGACGGGCTGCTGGAGGCGATGAAGGCTTGTCTCGCTGAAGACTCGTTCTCTGCGTTCGTCTTTAACTGCTCGAACGGTAAAGGACGAACGACCACGGCTATGGTGATCGCAGCCCTCACGCTCTGGCACTTTAACGTACGTCTGCTTCACTCAATGAAAACATACTGGAGAACATACAGTTTATACACTGAGATACAAAAGTATGAGACTGCATTGAAATGAGAATTTTTTTTTTTTTTTTTTTTACACCTGGAAATTAACAAGCACTTTTCACTATACACATGGTTTCAAAGTAGCTTTGTAAATGTTTATAATTCCTTAAAGTCACCCTGTGGTGAAAATCAAGCGTTTAATGTTGTTTATGTCTTTTAATCTGCTTTAACACAAAGCATGTGTAAGTTCATAAGTCGACAGCATTGCTGAGTATTTCCTCCTTAAAACTGCAGTGAACCAAAGACAGTCTCAAAAACACGGTTTGAAATCGCTGGTGTTTCTGACGTCACAAACGACCTTGTAACCAATCAGATCAACGTGTGATCGTCAACCAGTGGATCTCTGAGCTGAGTGAGTGAGTGGAGGCGGGGCTCATTTGCATATTCATAGAACCACGCATACTAAATGAGGCAAGGGTGTCGAGTTACATTCAAGATATTTTAAGGCATGAAGAAATTTATGATATTTAAATATGTAATTTTAGTGATCAAAGATTAGTTTTAAGGGATAAAATTATTTGATCACCAAAATTACATATTTAAATGTTTTTTCCTGTGAAAATAATTTCTTCATGCCTTAAAACATCTTGAATGTAACTCGACACCCTTGCTTCATTTTGCATACGCGTAGCCATGCATATGCAAATTAGCCCTGCCTCCACTCACTCACAGCAGCTCGGATTACCTGATCCACTCGGTCAGCTTTAATGTAGTAAATGGTAATAATAAAGTATATATATATATATTTTTTTTTTTTGTGTTTGTTTGACAGGGTTTTCCAGAGTTCTGCGAGGATGAAATCGTAAGCGTTCCTGATGCCAAATACACAAAGGGCGAGTTTGAGGTGATGCACTTCTGCGTTTTGACCTTTTTTTTTCCCATATATATATATATATATATATATATATATAATGTATTAATTTACAAGACATGCAATTTACACAATACACAATATACGTAATAAGTTAAAAGTAGGCCGTGTGATGCAGACATGCAGGAGTAAAAACGGCTCGTCTCTGACCCACAATCAGTGAACGAGATGATGCCGCGCGCGTGTGTGTGTGTGTGTGTGTGTGTGTGTGTGTGTGTGTTCTGACCCGGTCATGACTCGGTCATGTGATCTTTCACTCTCTCTGTCAGTGTCTGCAGGGTTTCTATAAAAACTATAAAAATGGTTATATTTATATACTGTTATTAAATAACTGTTTCTATCAATCATTTATTATTAGTATTATAAATACAAATAATAAATAATTTCCTGATTATCAAAAAGTAAATATTTTATAATATATTAATAATTTATTAAATGAGTACTAGGACTACTACTACTACTAATAATAATAATAATCAATATTTTTATAATACTTATATAATTAATATTCTTTTTTTAAATTTCTGCTCCTGTTATAATAATAATAATTAATAATAATTGCCTGTCTAAAAATATTACATTAATTTTCACATATTTTTAAAGTAATAATATTTTAATAATAATATTACATATTCTTTATTATACTTTTATAATTCGTTTTTTTCTCATGTTATAATAATAATAATTATGATGATAAATAATTTCTTGCCTAAAATTATTATATTTATGTACATTTTTACATATTTTTGAAACAATAAAAATGTAATTAATAATACTACATATTTTATTTAGAATTAGTATATATTTTTTTTACATTTCTGCTCGTTATAATATAATAATAACATAATTTCCTGCCTAAAAAAATTATATTTATATATATATATATTTTTTAATAATAATATACTTATAATTTTCTTATAGTAATAATAACTGTTTTAGAATAATAATAATTGTGTGTGTGTGTGTGTGTGTTTAGGTGGTCATGAAGCTGGTGCGTCTGCTCCCTGACGGTCACCGGATGAAGCGTGAGGTGGACATGGCCTTGGACTCGGTCAGCGAGACGATGACGCCACTGCACTATCACCTGCGAGAGATCATCATCTCCACCTACAGACAGGTGAGGGTTTAGATCATCTCCACCTACAGACAGGTGAGGGTTTAGATCATCATCTCCACCTACAGACAGGTGAGGGTTTAGTTCATCTCCACCTACAGACAGGTGAGGGTTTAGATCATCTCCACCTACAGACAGGTGAGGGTTCAGATCTTCTCCACCTACAGACAGGTGAGGGTTTAGATCATCTCCACCTACAGACAGGTGAGGGTTCAGATCAGACAGGTGAGGGTTTAGATCAGACAGGTGAGGGTTCAGATCAGACAGGTGAGGGTTTAGATCAGACAGGTGAGGGTTTAGATCAGACAGGTGAGGGTTTAGATCAGACAGGTGAGGGTTCAGATCAGACAGGTGAGGGTTTAGATCAGACAGGTGAGGGTTTAGATCAGACAGGTGAGGGTTTAGATCAGACAGGTGAGGGTTTAGATCAGACAGGTGAGGGTTTAGATCAGACAGGTGAGGGTTTAGATCAGACAGGTGAGGGTTTAGATCAGACAGGTGAGGGTTTAGATCAGACAGGTGAGGGTTTAGATCAGACAGGTGAGGGTTTAGATCAGACAGGTGAGGGTTTAGATCAGACAGGTGAGGGTTTAGATCAGACAGGTGAGGGTTTAGATCAGACAGGTGAGGGTTTAGATCATCTCCACCTACAGACAGGTGAGGGTTTAGATCATCTCCACCTACAGACAGGTGAGGGTTCAGATCAGACAGGTGAGGGTTTAGATCAGACAGGTGAGGGTTTAGATCAGACAGGTGAGGGTTTAGATCATCTCCACCTACAGACAGGTGAGGGTTTAGATCATCTCCACCTACAGACAGGTGAGGGTTCAGATCAGACAGGTGAGGGTTCAGATCAGACAGGTGAGGGTTTAGATCAGACAGGTGAGGGTTTAGATCAGACAGGTGAGGGTTCAGATCAGACAGGTGAGGGTTTAGATCAGACAGGTGAGGGTTTAGATCAGACAGGTGAGGGTTCAGATCAGACAGGTGAGGGTTTAGATCAGACAGGTGAGGGTTTAGATCAGACAGGTGAGGGTTTAGATCAGACAGGTGAGGGTTCAGATCAGACAGGTGAGGGTTTAGATCAGACAGGTGAGGGTTTAGATCAGACAGGTGAGGGTTTAGATCAGACAGGTGAGGGTTCAGATCAGACAGGTGAGGGTTCAGATCAGACAGGTGAGGGTTCAGATCAGACAGGTGAGGGTTTAGATCAGACAGGTGAGGGTTTAGATCATCTCCACCTACAGACAGGTGAGGGTTTAGATCATCTCCACCTACAGACAGGTGAGGGTTTAGTTCATCTCCACCTACAGACAGGTGAGGGTTCAGATCAGACAGGTGAGGGTTTAGATCATCTCCACCTACAGACAGGTGAGGGTTTAGATCATCTCCACCTACAGACAGGTGAGGGTTTAGATCAGACAGGTGAGGGTTTAGATCATCTCCACCTACAGACAGGTGAGGGTTTAGATCATCTCCACCTACAGACAGGTGAGGGTTTAGATCAGACAGGTGAGGGTTTAGATCAGACAGGTGAGGGTTTAGATCATCTCCACCTACAGACAGGTGAGGGTTCAGATCAGACAGGTGAGGGTTTAGATCATCTCCACCTACAGACAGGTGAGGGTTTAGATCATCTCCACCTACAGACAGGTGAGGGTTTAGATCAGACAGGTGAGGGTTTAGATCAGACAGGTGAGGGTTTAGATCATCTCCACCTACAGACAGGTGAGGGTTTAGATCATCTCCACCTACAGACAGGTGAGGGTTCAGATCAGACAGGTGAGGGTTCAGATCAGACAGGTGAGGGTTCAGATCAGACAGGTGAGGGTTCAGATCAGACAGGTGAGGGTTCAGATCAGACAGGTGAGGGTTTAGATCAGACAGGTGAGGGTTTAGATCAGACGGTTGAGGGTTCAGATCAGACAGGTGAGGGTTCAGATCAGACAGGTGAGGGTTTAGATCAGACAGGTGAGGGTTTAGATCAGACAGGTGAGGGTTTAGATCAGACAGGTGAGGGTTTAGATCAGACAGGTGAGGGTTTAGATCAGACAGGTGAGGGTTTAGATCATCTCCACCTACAGACAGGTGAGGGTTCAGATCAGACAGGTGAGGGTTTAGATCAGACAGGTGAGGGTTTAGATCAGACAGGTGAGGGTTCAGATCAGACAGGTGAGGGTTCAGATCAGACAGGTGAGGGTTCAGATCAGACAGGTGAGGGTTCAGATCAGACAGGTGAGGGTTCAGATCAGACAGGTGAGGGTTCAGATCAGACAGGTGAGGGTTCAGATCAGACGGTTGAGGGTTCAGATCAGACAGGTGAGGGTTTAGATCAGACAGGTGAGGGTTCAGATCAGACAGGTGAGGGTTCAGATCAGACAGGTGAGGGTTCAGATCAGACAGGTGAGGGTTCAGATCAGACAGGTGAGGGTTTAGATCAGACAGGTGAGGGTTCAGATCAGACGGTTGAGGGTTCAGATCAGACAGGTGAGGGTTCAGATCAGACAGGTGAGGGTTCAGATCAGACAGGTGAGGGTTCAGATCAGACAGGTGAGGGTTTAGATCAGACAGGTGAGGGTTCAGATCAGACAGGTGAGGGTTCAGATCAGACAGGTGAGGGTTTAGATCAGACAGGTGAGGGTTCAGATTAGACCGGTGAGGGTTTAGATCAGACAGGTGAGGCTTCACCCATGTCTCCACCCAAAAACAGCAGGAGCTTTCTTGAAAAAACAAGATCTGATTTGCTGGTTCAAAGTGTATGTTCAAATGAGTTTTCTTTTGTATCTCATGTTGTGATCACTACATCATTCCCAGACTTTACATGGCTTCACTATTATTCTTACATGTAGATTTATTGACGTGTCCGAACTCTTGACTCTTGGCGTTTGGCAGCGTCGTGTGTTTAATACTCTGCATTCCTGTGTCGTCTCTGAGTGTCCTGTAGAGGGCAGTCTCTTCACTCCATAAATACATTTAGACAATAACCCCATAATGAGACACTAATCAACTTCAGTCTCCATTTATATAAGCAGCATACATGTCAAGAGTCTCCTTGATTTCCTTAGAAGGATTCTGGGAAAAACCCTCTAATGTTAGTTTGAAGGAGTTTTATCCCAACTTTTCCACGTGCATTAAGATCTGCAGCCAGCTGTGAAACCCTAATGACTGACAGATGCGTGTGACGCGCTTGTGAAGAGGAGGGGTTGTTTTGTGTGTGTGTGTGTGTGTGTGTAAGTGTGTTTGTGGGTCAGGTCTGTCGCAGGTTCGAGTGTCGACTCTTATGTAAAGCTCGAGGGGCGACTCGCTCATCAATGCAGGTTTGTGCAGCGAGAGCCGCTCCATCTGCTCTCAATGGATCACATTGTCCCGAGCTCTTTTTTTTTTCTTCCCCTTCTCCGTTCAGTCATTACAGAAACTGAACTGCAGCTCGGCTTCCTAAAGCGGCCCGTCTGAGATCCCGCAGGAGAGACCAGGGATTTGTTTTTCCCGTGTGGAAACCCGAACACTAATCCCTCTCTTCTGTCATGTCATTCTTTTACTTTCGCTCAGCTCCTGGTTTAGATAACGGCGTCGCTGACCGAGAGCTATTTGTGGGATTTATCACACATTCAACAAAATATTTAGGCCTAAATTTAAGATGCATGCAATTTCCATCCGTATGCATTACAAAGTTTTAACATGAACTAATAAACATGCATGCATAAATTAAATGCAACTGTAAGAATACTAAAAAACTGAATGCATTTTAAATGCACATTAAGCAGGCATATACACTCACCGGCCACTTTATTAGGTACCCCATGCTAGTAACGGGTTGGACCCCCTTTTGCCTTCAGAACTGCCTCAATTCTTCGTGGCATAGATTCAACAAGGTGCTGGAAGCATTCCTCAGGGAGTTTGGTCCATATTGACATGATGGCATCACACAGTTGCCGCAGATTTGTCGGCTGCACATCCATGATGCGAATCTCCCGTTCCACCACATCCCAAAGATGCTCTATTGGGTTGAGATCTGGTGACTGTGGAGGCCATTTTAGTACAGTGAACTCATTGTCATGTTCAAGAAACCAATTTGAAATGATTAGAGCTTTGTGACATGGTGGAAGTAGCCATCAGAGGATGGGTACATGGTGGCCATAAAGGGATGGACATGGTCAGAAACAATGCTCAGGTAGGCCGTGGCATTTAAACGATGCCCAATTGGCACTAAGGGGCCTAAAGTGTGCCAGGAAAACATCCCCCACACCATTACACCACCACCACCAGCCTGCACAGTGGTAACAAGGCATGATGGTTCCATGTTCTCATTCTGTTTACGCCAAATTCTGACTCTAACATCTGAATGTCTCAACAGAAATCGAGACTCATCAGACCAGGCAACATTTTTCCAGTCTTCAACTGTTCAATTTTGGTGAGCTCTTGCAAATTGTAGCCTCTTTTTCCTATTTGTAGTGGAGATGAGTGGTACCCGGTGGAGTCTTCTGCTGTTGTAGCCCATCCTCCTCAAGGTTGTGCGTGTTGTGGCTTCACAAATGCTTTGCTGCATACCTCGGTTGTAACGAGTGGTTATCTCAGTCACTGTTGCCCTTCTATCAGCTCGAACCAGTCTGGCCATTCTCCTCTGACCTCTGGCATCAACAAGGCATTTCCGCCCACAGAACTGCCGCTCACTGGATGTTTTTTCTTTTTCGGACCATTCTCTGTAAACCCTAGAGATGGTTGTGCGTGAAAATCCCAGTAGATTAGCAGTTTCTGAAATACTCAGACCAGCCCTTCTGGCACCAACAATCATGCCACGTTCAAAGTCACTCAAATCAACTTTCTTCCCCATACTGATGCTCGGTTTGAACTGCAGGAGATTGTCTTGACCATGTCTACATGCCTAAATGCACTGAGTTGCCGCCATGTGATTGGCTGCTTAGAAATTAAGTGTTAACGAGCAGTTGGACAGGTGTACCTAATAAAGTGGCCGGTGAGTGTATATTTATTTATTATCAATAAAT